TCCAATAACGGGAATAAGAAAACTGATGTCTTCGAGGGCGTTTTTTTTTTTTTTGCTAATTGTTGAAAATGCTGCATTGGTTTTGTATTGAAAATGGGCATTGCTGGAGAGAAACCAGCATCAATAGACACAGGCCCTTGATCATTACACTGTGTTTATATCCCTATGTAAAAATTGGGGACGAAATCAGAAGTTCTTGTTCAATAGTTTGGGTTAAACTATTGTATCAACATTCACACTTGGTTTTTAAAAGGACTTTAACAGCAGTCTTCATGGTGAAAGTTCTGTCTTTGATTGGCCTTCTTAGCCGATTGCAAAAACAGGGCAGTACTTAGGGAACCGCTAGTGGTGAATAAAATAATGTTGTACAATATTTATTTACAATTATGTTTGGTTCCATTTTCTCAAAGCTAGCTTTTCCCCCTTTCTCTGGTTCCCAGTTTGTGCTAACAGTGAGCCAACATGAACGTATTTGGTTATTACTGTTTGTGGACCAAAATGATCCTCAGAGACTTTAAAGGCTCCCCAATCCAAAATAACTTTTTTTTTTTTATTAAAGACAAAACAAAAATAAAAAAAACTCTCAACACAGTTACCATATTACATTTTGGCCACTGACATTAACCCTTGTATTTGCATTTAAATGAATGTATTGAGGGGATTGTGTAATAGATTCTTATTTGTTTTCGTATTTAGAGTTTTGACCTAATTAGTTTCTATGTATGGAAAAAAAGTCACCCAGAGAGAGAGCAGGAGAAGTAAACAGATACAACTGGAGGACGACTGCATGTGTGTAATAGTAAAGCAGCAGCCACTTTGAGTCATCACACAGCCAGCCGGTTGGTTCCAGTTAGCGTCCTCACGGTGACAGAGATGTTATCCAGATGAGGGGTCTCTGTTGGTGACTCACCTGAGAGTCAAGGCCATCGATCTGCCTGAGGGCCACAGAGACAAAACAACACGGGGAAGGAGAGAGAATGACAGAGAGACCCCAGCAGCAAAAGATGAAAAGGTTCGAGGGGGGGGGATACCTCACCCTGCAGATTCAGTTACATCAAGGCAAAAGTGAACACAATAGGCTCAATATACCTGAGATCAAATAAAAAAAAACCCTTTCAATAAAAGGTCCAAAATGCTGCAGGTCCACACAGGACCTCGGGGAGAGTCTGTGAGCGAGCACAATGGATCAGTCCGGGGTACAGTGACAGCTCAGGTTTCCCCAAAAATCCCCATTTCAGACAAATACATTTGTCATGGAAAAGGAGATTCACACAGCCTATACAAATTAAAAAGCAGTGACTGACAGTAAAAAAAACAACAAAAAAAACATGCAATGACAGATGTGGCGAAGTCTTTATTCAGTGACACGCACACAGATATAATGACAGTAGCAGCGAGTCAAGAGTCAAATACCAAATAATGTGTCATAAAGCTTAAAGAGGTCATACATTGTAATTTAAATCACCATCTGACGCACTCACATCTTTGTTGTTTTCTTAGATATCTAAATATGGACACCACGGTTGAAAAAAGGAAACCAAGCTCTGTGATGGAAAACTACAAGGACACGTCAGAAAAATGGGAGAAGGCCGCCACCTACTGACCAACTGAAGGACTCGCCATAACTGATCAAAAGACAGCAGTTTTTCCAGCTGGGGTAATATTTCAAAGGCGTTTTACATGACATTTTCATCTTGCTATCCAGCACGCATCATTAATTATGTTTTAACCTGATTCAAGTTTGACCTTTATTTCAGCATTCAGCCGGTGGTTCATTAAATCTTCACCGCGTCTGATATGTTAATCACTTGTTTGTTTTTCTTGTGCTTCTTCTATAAACAAAGCTGAAATCTCTTAGGGGTGAAAAGAAGTTGTTCTTCACAGCTTGTATTTGTGCTTATTAGCTGATTAAATGAATGCAAAGTAAATACATGTTTTCTTCTCAGATTTGTGCCCGGAGGAGGCGGATCAGATCAATGCAAAGACGCAGCAAAGCTGTGAAGGAGTCAAGGTACTCTTTCATCCCACTGCCATGACCTGCTCCTTCATCTCCTCCACCCATGTAGCTTCACCTCCACATGGTTCATGTGACCCCCATGACCCTCTGCGTCAGTTGACAGGACCAGTGAAGAAGAACAACTTCCCCAGTAGAAACAAAGAAATTCATTTCCCCCTCCTTTGGTTAAAAAAAATGCATTACAGGAATTACGAGGATATGTTTATCAAATGTTTTTTCTTTTTTTACAGAAGATTCTTCCTGATTGAGGCTTTCTTGAAGTTGGATACTAACACAAACTAAGGATGGCTCAAGCTCGTGTCAGGAGTTTTTAGCTGGTTATGAAACAGAATTAACAGGACGAGTCTTTTTATGGCCTACAAAAGCAAACATGACCCTCTTCATGGGGATGATGATTTCCTTATTCATGTTGATTTTAAAGTCTGAAATCGCTGCCGGGGGAGTTGTTTAGAAAAGTACTATACTATAAGTATTCTCAGGTAAATGTACATAAAGTACAATAGCTAGATCAACATTTCATTGTTATTTGGATATTAAGATTTGCAATAAAACACAGAAAGAAGTCTTTACAGTTTCATCGGGTTGAATGAAAAAAATATTTAAAATTAAAAAGTAATGCCTCCTCTATCGGAATGAATACATGCAGTCAGATGAAGCTCAAGCTAGCTGTCACCTACCCTCAGATTAGTTGGTGCAAATGTTGTAGTGGAAAAAAAAAAGATTTAATTTGGATTCAGGAGGGTCATGTGGTGTTGTGTTGAACATGAAGTTCAGCAGATAAAAACTGAGTTTTCGCTAACATGCACTCTGTAATGAAATATGGAACAATGTATTGAACAATGTTGCTGCACTCGGGCTGATCTCCTGTCTCTCTTCAGCTATTCAATCCAAAAAGGCAAATTCTTCCAAAAATATGAGAATTGCTCGTTCTCCGAAGAAGTACAAACTTAATGTTATGAGTCAAAAACCATTTTACTACCTGCAGCATGGAGAGAAAACATTACAGTAGTTCTCTCCAGACAGTTAAGCTCATACTGCCTGTTATACAGAAACCCACAGAATCAACACGTCAAACAACAATAGATCAATATACCAAGAGGAATATCAATTCTTTAAATGCAATCACAATGTCTCGTAAAACAGTAGGAAGCCACCAGGTGATAGGATATCAAAGGGACAGTTAGGAAGTCATGGATTGAAAGACTGGATGTTTCACTCCTCTTGTGAAACTCCTCTTACAAAGATTAGTTTTAATAAAATCCCCTTACACATCTAAATGTATATTAAACACTAGTTATAGTAATCTTAAATGAGAGGAACAAGTGTTTTCACACGGTTGTTTTGTGCTTAAATCTGTACTCTAGTGGTTTCCCAATATTTCCCATTCAAACCCAAAATCTCACATTAATCATATCACAGCACAGGTAAGCGTCCCACCAACCGTTTATTTATTTTATGTTTATGTTTGGTGCATTTTAACATTCACATTTATTTACTCCTCTTTCTTTCATCATTTATTTCAAACAAAGATAACTTAGGAAAATAAGTTAAGCAGACATCGTCTCAGCTTTGATGGAGTTTATCTCAAACAAATTTGGATGAAACTGAAAGAAAAAATCATAAATACAAAAATCTAATACATAGAATAATCATGGATATATTATATTGACTGAGATTACATAAAAAAATACAGAATCTGGAATCAAAGAGCAAAAAGTAACTCCTATCTTATTCTTACATTATTGTTGAGCAGCTGAATAGTTCATTGTCCTAAATGTTTGTGTTGCTGCCTCTCTGAGAACAATAGCTGAGTTAACAGAGAGATGTCAGTGGGCATGAATTCCCTCACCACCCAGCAGCCTATTAAAACCACTCTGTTAACCTTTCATATGCAGAGATAATTCTACAGACACAGAAGATGTCAAATGTCAGACAATTCCTCACCCTCATACCTTCTGAACTGGGACACTTCTTAAAATACCAAACTCCTCAGAGAAATGCACCAGAACATTTTGTATCTACGTAACTCTCAGGTCCCCTCACTGCTTTTCAAACGTCTCACTTTTCTTTGTCTTTTTTTTTTTTTTTTTGAGTATAATGTGTCAGACAAGTGTTAAGCTTCACGTTTTTAAAAAAAAAATAGCTTTCATTTGTTCTCAGGTTATCATCCTACAGGCAGCAGTTCAGTTAGCACATGATGTCTTGAATGGGTGCTCTATGAAAAATGAAAAAAAAGGCTGCTGTGTATTCAAGTCTACTGCAGCTTTACTGTTTGGTTTTATTGAAGAATACGCTTTCCATCCCTAATCTCAAATGCACCCTGTGACATTATTTATTATTTTATCAGGCGGTTTTTGGTGACGTAGCAGGAGCCAATCAGCACCACGGAGAGCTCCTGCCTCCATCCGTCCATGTGGGCAACGCCCCAGCAGTGTCTGGCACTTACTCATTTTGACTGTGGTGTTAACGTTTGCGATTTATTGAAACAATAAAGGTGTAATAAACATGAAATAAGTGGTTAGTAATGATTTACTATGAAGCCTGGATATCAGGCATGCAGCGTTTTCATTTCCATAGCACAAATAATGCTCTGATAAGATAACAGCTGCACACAACGGTTCTATAGGTTATCTGTCGCTTAGCAACCACATTGTTTGGCTGCGGATCAACGGACGACTGTTGATAATAAAAAATATTATTATTATTATTTTTAAATAATCCAAACCGAATGAAAAACAAAAAAAAGGTGTTGTTATTCGTGTGACTTTTACTGAATTTACAGCATTACTATCGATCAAATTGGTTCATTTTTGCGTTGATGACACTACATTCCACTGCGCACATTTTCTGCGCACACGCCGCTGTCCTCTCTTTTGTTCCCCATTCATGAAGCGACGTCAGTATACCGGAGATGTGTCAACGTAAACTGTAGACCCCCCCCCCTTCCCTCCCTCCCTCCCTCCCTCCCTCCTCCCTTCACAAAGCAGGCGACTGGCCCTTTAAGGGGTTATGTAGCCGGGCTAGCCGATGTAGGACGAGCCGACCGTGCGTCTGCCTGCCTGCCTGCGTGCGCTCCGGCTGCCATCCTCATCATGGCCTCCACAGAGCCACCAGCGACGCCACCGAGGATGAAGCGACCTGTCAGCGGCCCTTCCCTTCCCGCAGCGGAGACGGACGTCAAGCCGAAACAGAGGCACCGGTAGAGGCGAGCCGCGCCGGGGAGAGCCGCCACACATCCCCATGCCACCCCGGTCTCCTCCATGCCTTCGTCTAAAGCCAAGTACAGCTATTCGATAAAGAGGGGTGCGAACCCGGGCGGCGGCGGCAGCGGCGGCAGCGGCAGCGGCAGCGGCAGCGGCGGCAGAAACATGACAACGAACAGGGATTATTCTGTAAATCTGTCGGTGCAGCAAGTGCTGAGCCTTTGGGTGCAAGGCACGACGCTGCAGCACTTCACAGGTATGCGTAATGAATGCTGTTTTCATGTTCACACACACACACACACACACACACACACACACACACACACACACACACACAATCAGTGTGTAGACTCTATAATACTGGACAGTTTGATTTTGCCTGCACCGGTCGCGCGTCCATTTTAAAGCAGACAACATGTGTGATATTACATCTCACATGCTTAGTGAGCAGGAAAGGGCAGAGCTGGTCCCATGAAAAGGGGGGTACCACCTCAGAGCCCCCCTCGCCCCCCCCTCACCACCACCACCACCACCTCGCCCCCAGCTGGTGAATTCCAGCTCTTAAAAAAAAAAATGCCACCCCATCTGTCCACGCCCGAGGAGTCAGTGGATGACATGAAAATAATCACAACATGCGGCTGATTAATCTTTCTGCTGCGTGAATGCGCATCGACTGTGGAGCAAATTAAGTGGCTCTTTCTTTTTGCTCCTCCTTTTTTTTTTTTTTTTTTTTGCCTCGCAGTTCAGTTATGAAGGGGCAATTAAGAGACAGCACCATCAACTCTGTGCAGCAGGATATCTGTCTGGGATGGTCTAGACTCCAGCATTAGTGAGGATGAGTAAAATCAATGCTTGTCTCATAGTAGTTTGGAAATGGGAGGGGACAGCTTTGTGGTCAGAACATAGTGATGCACACTGATCGTTGAATTGTCAGCTCACCAAAAGAAGCTTATTTTCTTGTTGCCTTGTATTTTATTTTATGTGGACATGACTGACAGTGTTGCCACAATGGATGTTTCTTCATCTGGTCAACGTGATTACACACATTTTCTAATTTTCAATTTGGGTTGGAACACCATCAGTCATGTTCCCATGAAATAAAACAATGTGGGCATTTTATCTTCTCCTCCCCAATGGGGGCCAAACTTCCTCAGCACGCACTTGACGCAACAAAATTGCTCCGAATGTGTGATAAAGCGGATATTAAGGGTTAAACTGGGATGTCGTATAAACACAAGATTATAGGCCGTTCTTGAGATTCCTTCCCTGCAGAGTGAGAGTGAAGCACAGTCGGATGTGTGTGTGTGTGTGTGGGGGGGGGGGGGGTCACAGCTGAGTTGGCACAGACCCATCTTATGAAACGCCGCTGACATTCTGTGTTGAGAAAGGCGTCAAGCAGGAACATGAAGAGAAGGTGGTTAATGATGCTGACTCAGCAGGAAGCCGCAGCGCTTGTAGAAGTTTTTGCGGAAGCAGAGCTGCAGCGGCGAGTCGAAAGCTGCGAGAAGCTGATGCACGGGCTTAAGTGACTGATGTGCGCCAAACTGCTACCTGATCCCCCCTCGACCCCATAGTTCATCAACCAGGTGAGAAACAACCTCCTGAGACATAAATAAGGTCAGAGGAAGTGTGTGAACCGTGAACAACAAGAACAGTGAACTCCAGGAGCAGATGTTAACTTTTAGGAGACGTCAGCCCTCAGGAGACTTCCTGCCCTCTCTCTTGGGCTCTTGGGAGTTGCCTTAACAAATGGATTTCCTGTTTATTATTTGCGTCCTCGCCGCAGTTTCACTTCAGCAAACCATAAAAGGAGCATTTGGTGATTGATTGAAGATATGAATGCAAGAAACCACGTCAGTACTCGTATGAAAACAAGTATGCAAACTCTGTCTCTACAAGCTTTTCTTTAAAGGGTTGGTTCACTCAAAATGATGATGAACCTTTCCAGAGACAAGTTAGGTCTTACTCCCCTTGAACAAATTGTACAGGAACAACTTGTACAATATACAATGACATTGTATTTCAGTGGATCAACACTTAATGGACAGTTCAAAACATATCAAGTCCTCATACCTTGGCACAATAAACATGTGGCTACTTTAGACTGTATAAAACATGGGCATAGTCTCAGTGATGTCACCCATTGGTTTCTGAAGCGGACTTTGAAAGCCCATACAGTAAATGGCTGTCACCATGTTTGAATTGCTGCCTCAAATTAACTTTCAGTCGACCAAGAAACAGGTAAAGAGCTGGAGCTGAGGTGGGCCTTAAGCATCCAGACAAATGGCTACGATCCATCAGTCCGGTCAGCCACGCTCCTATATGTTACTTCCAGGGTTTTGACAGTTAGCCTCTAGTGGACACTCGAGGAACTGGGTCAAGAAGAGGTTGCTTCTTGGTAAAGTCGTGCAATAGTTGCAATGTAGTAAAGTTTAAAAAAACGATAACATGTTTGTTTGGGTTACCTGTTTGAATATCATTTGCTAGCTTGCCAAAAAGCGAAGTGTTTCGAAGCTGGGGAGACCAAAGTTGGTGGAGACCAAAAACAAAGCTAGAAGAGAGCAAACAATCTTGTTTATTGTTTAACGATATTAGCATCAGTTTTATATGAGTAAAAACATACTCTACTGGTGTAGCTAAATGGGTTTTTGAGCAATGAAGGTAGGCGGTTTCAAGGCACCCCACAAACCCGTTTTGGACGCCCCTTAGTTTGACTGATATGAGACCAGTTATCACGTCATGCGGATAGCGGCGTCATGCGGATAGCAGCGGCATGCAGCGATGGAAGCTGGCAAGCAAACTGGTTCAAATATAACCTTAAAAGCCTTGGCTTTATTCTTATAAGATCAGAAATGTGGCAAAACTCGGATAAATATCGGAGATGCTTTTGAAAAATGGAGAGAGGTTAGAACGAGAGGTTACCAGAATGATGCAGAGCTGGCTAAACACTGAAGCTTCAGTGTCCGTAACATGATAACCCACATGTGCATTGACTCTAGGGAGGAGGGGGGGCTGGGCGGTGAGAGATCCCTACAACGTGAACGTGGACTGCAATGCCAATTTTAAATGCTACATGAGAGTTACATATTGCTCCTTTAAAAAGATCAAAATCCAACAACAAAATCTGTAAAACATTCAAGCATGTCATGTGTTAATCTGGGACCACAGAACTCTCTTTGCTGTGGAGGTCAACACAGCTCCAGCTTTATTACAACCAGCCGGCCATATCCCACCTCTCAATGTCAACCTATACTGGGAGGAATCCATCATACTTCCTGCTGATGGATGAACTCAACGCCCTGCAGAGCTCCCGCTGTGCGAGCCTGCAGTCACGCCACTTCCACTCGTTCATATTCTGTGTGCTTGTGCAAGAGAAACTCTGAACCTCTTATCAAGCAACTAAAAAATCATGATCCTCCGATTTCTTTTTTTTTTTTTTTTTCTATGCTCCAGTGATGACGGTTGAGCTTTAAAGCTGCCGTGCAGACAAAGACCTCGATCTGTAGTTGCGGATTAGCAGCAAGTTAATGCCGTGCTCTGACTGTGTGTTCTGGCTGCTCGTGTCTCTCTGAACATGACACAGCACTCGAGGGGAGCGCTTCTCTCACCTCATAGGTGTGTTTCTGAGCTATAACCACCTGCGCTTCTGTCCCCTGAAATTACATGTGAAGGCAGATTCCAACATCTGTAACCAATGACCTGCCAGGAGTCATTTACATCAGCCGGAGTAAATAACCAGCCGAGTATTTTCACAACAACATTTTAGAATTAACAATTTCTGTATCTTGTTGTTAATTAAAATCTTGTAAAGTAACAGTATTTTTTTAAAACAGAGGGTTTTGAATGTTGCTTTAAACATCCAGCCTGGCAGGTGACTGTGACCGTTTATCCCCCACAAACAGATTTTACTGACATTTGGCTCTCAGCGGGCGTTGGTGTCTGACCCCGCCCGTCAGTTTTAGTGGTTTCAGGTTTCGTGTTTTTTTAGGTTTCGGATCATTTATGTCAAAGGAAGTTCCAATATGACATTTTTTTTTTTTATTTATAGAACTGCTTTGTGTGCAAGTATACGTCTTAACATTTTACTGTAAGTGAATCTGCAACATGTGCATAAACAATCGACCATACGAGTAGTCATTATTATGCTGTGCCTGTCTTATATGACGTTGATGTGTTTTCAATGCTGCTCTTTCAAATTAAAAGAAAATAGTGGTTGTTGCGAGTGAAGATAAAGGTAATTAAAATAATTTGATATACTATTTGAGAGTTTAACCAGGTTAGCCAATCAGGCTCCTACAAATAGTCACAAGGTTAAGAAAATAACAAGATCAGGATTTGATTATCCCGCCACTCAGACTTGTATTCAGGTTTTGAAATGTTGTGTTATCTTTGTGATTTCCTTGTGAGGTATTTGAAATGAAAAACTTTCTGATTCGTTCTTTAGTTGAACTGCTCATAATTTATAAATCTAAAAGTAGCACCCATTACAATTGTAGTGTTTTTTGTGCTCAAATACCCGAGTTGAATATTACACTTCTGTAGTTGAGTTAAAATCGTTTGGCGCTGTCTGCCGCTGGTTCTCTGTCCGCCCTGATGGTGGTGTAGTTTGTAGGACACATCCTCCGCTGGCCCGACGTGCTCCCATGTTGAGCATTGTGTTAATCCGTCCAGGCTTAAGTTGAGCGACAGCTGCCCAGTCTGTGTGACCAGGACCTGATGAGGGATCCCAGTAGAGCCACGAAGGATGTCTGGGTGCTTTAATTTGACAACCCTGGTCCCGAGGATAAATGACTTAAATACCAACTGGGACATATTTCATCATACCAGCATCAAATGTATAAAAGAGATGTGTTAATGCGTTAGAGACTTTAACTTTAACTTGGATACAATTCAGCGATTGGACAAAATTCAAACCAGCGAATACGATACATGGACGTAGCTGCAAAGAAAAGAAAATATGATCACAGTGAGGCCAATGACAATCATGCGTTTGCTTTTACCTGCGGATTTCGCCTGATTTCTGTTGGACAGGCGGGTGCCAAACAACGGGCGTTAGCTTGTGCTATCTTGTTGTAGCTTGCAGTGTAGGAACAAGCAGTAAACGAGCACACTACAACCAGCAGTGAGTGAGCGCTTCAGGGAGACGATGAGCCGCCGTTGAATGTTGTGATTACAAGCTGCAACGAACAATGCTACTGACGCCACCTTTAGGTATTACTAATTGTGATGAATGCTGTTAAATGCAGTCTATGGTTGTATTATTTTCCTGAATAAACCAAGATTCATTTGGAATAAAACCAAGGAAGGGGAAGAAAAAGTTTCTGAAACATAAAGTCTTTGGTGGACTCATATTCTGAGTATCCTCTGGTAAACAAGTAGAAATCCAAAAAAACTATGCTTCTATTGGTTCCAGTAGTGTTGATTGTTTTTATGAAGCGAGCGATATGCTCTGAGAAATTCCAGTACAAACAACATGTCTTGTTTAATCTCCTTTATCCTCTTGTTTCCAAGTCTAAACTGTTAAGACATCAGCAAAGATGGCACACCTTGGATGGATTTGTGGGTCACGGACCAGAGAGCGAACGCTCGAGGATTTTGGGGGGCAGCTAATGTCTCCTCCTGCATCCTGTATCCTTCTCTTTGCCTCCTTGTATCCTCGTCCCGTCACTGTGTGTCTCGCTCGCCTCCTGTGAGATGGACAGCGATGGTTGTGTAGAGACAGCAGTGGGTGATCTCACAGCGTGACGCGCCCTCTCATGCGGGACAAAGAGCCGCTGTGCCGCTGTGCTGTCACGTCTCTCTCCAGCCGGCTCCACATGCTGATTACCCGATCAATAAGTAGATGTAGGCGCTCAGTCGACTGTGGAGCGACCACAGTAGATGGATATGCTAAAGAGCTGCACTGAGAAATCCTCTGTGTCTTCAGATGTTTACAGCGCACAACAATGTCCCACTTTCTGTTTACGTCCCATCATTAAGAAGGGAACAGGCTTTTTTCTTTTACACAACATTCCTTTGCTTTTGGATTCCCATCCATGCTGGACCCCCGCCCCCCTTCCCTCATCCTATCTCTTTTCTTCTAGAATAATCCCCGGGCCAGCTGGCTCCATTTTGCTCCCACGGTTTGCTCCCAGTGGTTCAAAGCATGGCCCCTCGTTGTCAGAGTACGATGAGGCCAGAATTTTGTTTTAAAGTGAAGCTTGTTTTGGTTGGACAGGAAGAAAGATGAAGAGATGGCTTGAGGAGGAAGAGGGAGAGAGAGATTCTGGATGGGGTTGACGACTTATGTGGTCCAACTTTCTATTTTGTCGTTTACTAATCAGGAGGCTTTGGCCTTGTTGGGATGCTTGATAATGTTTTTTTTCTTTAATTACAGTTTGGTTTGGCAGGTTTTAGAGCATAATAGTTGTCTGTTGTAAGTTTTGGAAACGAGCTTATTCAGCAGTTTTGTTTGCAACTTAACCAACAATGCCAAGGCGAGTTTATTTAAAAAAGCACATTTTATCAACAAGGCCATCCAAAGTGCACGGCCAGACAACCTAACTGCTGAATGTTGATTTTCAATTGGTTGTGAATATTGATAACGTCAATGACTGTAATGGCACCACAAGATCACCAAATGATCGTGTGATGATTATAAAAAGAATAATGTTGAATTTAGAGCTCTTCAAGTATCCTTCAGTAGTATGAATGAAGGACCCCTCCAAAACTCATTATCATGTTATAATAACTGAATCATTATTGTCCACCAGCCCCTCAAATAATCAACTGTGATCCAGTTAATAACAGTTTGATAATAACCAAATTATTGATGTTGATTTAAGATTTCCGACTATCAATTCTGGTATAAATATCTGTACCATTGTGGATATCAGCCCAAAAAGATCAACTAGTTTCAGGTGAATTATCGTGTAAAATTACTAAACATTCAACTGATCAAGCTTGCAGAGATTTCATGTTTTGCAAATCTATAAAATGTCATAACTGAGGTTTTTTTTTAAATCAATAATCCTACGATCAAAGGGGTACTTGGAATCAGCCAATACTCAAGTAGAGGAATCAGAATCAGGAAGGCACAAAGGAATCGTAACATTTCTAGTGGAATCGTTTATTTTCAGTCCCGCTGAAGGTCCTCAAACTCTATGCCATGATCTCTTCTTTCAGACGACATCTTCCATTTACTGCTTAAAGCATCTCGTCTGAAATTGTCTGAAATCTCACTATAGGAGCAGTTTTATACATCTCCAGCTCAGGTCCATTACCGCGCTCGGCTGCCTCCTTCATGAGCCCTGACTGAGATAGTGTTGGCCGCAGATTGAAATCCTCCCTCACAGAGAATCTGTGCAGCCTGATCTGTAGCTCTCAAACGAGCTCTGGGATGAGTAAATCTGTAGAACGCGTCAGGAAATCAGCCAGGGGTCCACAGAGCGGGACGGCCTTTCTCTTGTAACCGTAGCAACCTGAAAAGGGCGATTTATACTTCTTACCTGTGCGGGGAGGCGGAGTTATTTTATTTTCTAACCAATCGTCTTCACTCCATCTTTGCTATAATGGATGCTGCAGAGAATACGTATTGGCCTGACTGCACAAGTGAAAGACAGATTGTATAAATACATTCTCAGTGTTGAAGCACATCTACCCCTCATTTTAGTCCCCGATCATCAATAAACTACATTTTCCATTTTTTCAATCCCGATTTTGGATTCCAATTAAAATGAAAAACCAGATTATCAGGCTGAAACCATTATGGTGCCGCATTCCTTGTTGGCGATGATGCTCTCATTTCATCTTGTGAAATAAATCCAACCCCCCTTCTTTAACACAAGCGATTGGCATTTTCATTTGCAATTCTCTTGTAGTCTTTTAGCCCTTCTAAACAAGTAATGGATCAGACACTTCCTCGGCAGCTGCTTTGAGGTGGTCCACGATGTTGTTGGGTTTTTTTGCGCTGTGCAACTCAACAGAACTGCTTGTCTGTAGGACGGTGGTCTGAAGAGCTCCAGTTCCCTTTGTCACACTCTATAGACCGTCTGTTTATGTTGGAAATAAAAGAAACCATCATCAGAATCAGACTTCTTACTGCGTCCCTTAAAGCAGTTTGTCAGAGGGTCCAGTGATGCCGTTGGTGGGTTTTAACACTGACGTTACTTAGCTGTGCCGTGCAGAGTTAACCTTGTTTCTGAATGCCGAGAGCGCGCCGTCAAAGCTTCTGTATTTTGACAACTTGGTAATAAGATCAGGGCTCTTAGTTCAGCTCGAGCCACGATGACGCATTCATGGTGTCAGATAACGTGAGCTCAAGTCGCTGACAAAATGATTGTCAAAATGTTTTTTTGGTCATAATTGAGCAGCCGGAACAGAATCCTACATTTCCCGTAATCCCACTACTTGATTTGATTTGACTTCCTGGTCAATGCAGGTGGAGTCACATTTACTTGATAAAGAAAAGACGATACAGAAAACATGCACAGCGCAGAGGCAAAGTACAGAATCGCTTAAAAGGCACAGATTCCAACCTAAAATAACTCTTGCATCATCGCAATGACATGATTAGAGTGACTTTCTTAGACCAGACAAAGTTTCCTAAATCTGAGCAATCCAATCAGCAGTCAGAGATTCGTCTCGATGTTTAGTCTGTCTTTGTTTTAGTTTCATGTTTTTTTCTCTCTGTATCTTGTTGTGTCTTCCCCCCTCTCTCAGAGATGTGGTACTGGGTGTTCCTGTGGTGTCTCTTCTCCTCGCTCTTCGTCCACGGCGCGGTCGGGCTGCTCATGTTGGTCATGCTGCAGCGCCACAAGCGGGGCCGCCTCATCACCCTGGTGCTGGTCAGCGTCGGTTTCCTGGCCTCGCTCTCAGGAGGGGTCATCACCAGTAAGTCCACTTTCTTCACTTTTCTTATATTTAAATCCTTTTTTTAGACTGACCTCAACATCCAGTCAGCCAAGAAGAAGAAGAAGAAGAAGAGGGAAGGTGACAAGGAGGGAGAGAGCGAGAGCGAGAGGGAGAGAGTTTTGCTGTCACACAGAGGAGGACAGAGAGAGACGAGGAGGATTTCAGACTCCAGTGTTTCTTCTCCATGCAGCACAGGAAGCTTCAACTTAGAAATATAGTTAGACATTTAATGATCAGTGTTTTGGGGTAGATTTGGTGCCTCATAGAGATGTGGTGATGATTTTAAAGTTAGACTTTTTAGCAGTTTTTACCGTAATTAGAGGGGGGGGGTGTCTATAAACGTTCAATTTCAATGAAGCAACTTTGGACTTTTTTTTAATTACAATATGCATCAAATCGTTTATATGAACTCATCCCATCAAACTAAAAGAATCCATATTTTATCCCGGTTCTGACTTTACCCTCCGTCTTCTGTTACTTTGTGTGTTTGTCTTTTACCCTTCGTCTGTTTTCTGTCTCTGGTCACAGTATTTATTTGTATTTATTTGTATTTATTTGTATTTATTTGTATTTATTTGTTTGTCTGAATACATTCACAGTTTGTTTATTCGAGCCCTTGCTTTGTCATCCGTTGTTGCCTTCCCCTCGCTGTGACAGAGTGAGACACAGTGTGTGTGTGTGTGTGTGTGTGTGTGTGTGTGTGTGTGTGTGTGTGTGTGTGTGTGTGTGTGTGTGTGTGTGTGTGTGTGTGTGTGTGTGTGTGTGTGTGTGTGTGTGTAAATAGACCCTTCATCAGACCCAGAGTAACGTAGCTCTTCAGGGCTCAGCGAGTGAATCACTTTTCATCACGGATTCAAGCCGGCCCCCAGAATAGCAGACGGTTTATAATTAACGTGCGGCAATCAGTGAGAGTGGACCGTTTGTTGACTGTGAGCACACACACACGCCTCAGTGTCAGCGTGTACATCGGTCCGACTGAGAAAGAGGGAACAGAGCTCAGCTGAGCAGAGGAAAGAGGAGCTCTCAACGTTTAAGCAACTAGAAAAGCTTTTACTTCAGGGGAGCCCGGCAGTATGAAAGTAATGTCACACTCACAGCACTACTGCGACCATCTCACATTTAAACAAATCTGACACTCAGCATATTGCTCGGTGCTTAGACTGAATAAAGGCAGCGCTGATATTCAGTATAACATCACTCCCTCTCGTGGGATAATGCCGTTTTAAAACCTCGACTGGAGGCGGTGTTGTCAGATGGAAAATACAGCGATATCGTTCTGCAGCTTTAAAATGATCTTATTTCACTTAAAACTATCGTATATATATATATATTGTTTTTAACGAGACGCGTCCTAAATACAAGACTAAATGTCACAACTATGCCCTGACCCCACATTAAAGGAGCACTATGGAGTTTTGGTGGTGAAATTTGAAAGTTGGAGAAGTGAAACAATTCTATGCTTTAATGAAATAAATCCACAAACTTTATTCAAAGGAAAAAAATGAGTCCCTGTAACACTGTTTGGAGCTTAAAAGCGACCAGGTGAGTTACTGTTTCACTGTTGTGCACCCCACCATAACTTTTCACATAGCATTTTATCTTCAAACAGTGTTACAGGGACCAAATTTTCCTCTGAGGACAGTTTGTGTATTGAGTTATGAACATATAGAATCTGTACACTTCTCTGACTTTCACATTTCTCTACTAAAAAACTTCATGCAACAAAAAAAAAAGAACAAACTATTAAAGTGTTGATTGTTTGCAAAGTGCTCCGTCTGAAGCTTCCTGTGTAGCTTAGCTAGTAGCATCGCATTGTGATGTTCGTTTTTCTTCAGTCTGTGCTGCATAACGAACCACAGGCACGAGCAGGGCATCAGGTGATGATCTGATTGGCAGTTAGAGCCTGGCAGCAGAGCGGTGGGCGTGTCAGTTAGCTGCTGAATGTGATTGGTTGCTCTCAAATCACATACAATGTTTGGTTATGGGGACATTGCAGAAAGGGCCAAATGTACAATAATTTGGCAATTTCAATTATCGATCGTGCGTCGTACAGAGGGTACAAATAGGAGAGTTATCGTACATCTGGCAACACTGACAGAAACACACGACATCACCTTTATCCCACTGAGCCTCGTCCAATACAAACCAATGAAAAGTCAAAAAGCATGAATGGAAATCTTGTTTCAGAAAAACAAACATTTGGGATTAAGATAAAAAAAAAAAAAGTTTACAAAGGATTTCTTTTGGTGTGGAGCCGATGAAGAAAGTATGCTGGTGTGGCGTTTAAATCTGGATTATCTCCTCTGACTTTTTTATAGTTTATGACCAAATAAAACCGCTCTGTTCTGCTTCACGGATCAGAGATTCATTAAAAGTTCCTCTCTCATCGCTTCATGCTGTTTAGGATTAATTATCAAGGAAGTGTCGTACCAAAACACGGGGAGGCAACGCAGTATGTGGCTGTGAACAGAATAACGACCCAGCATGGAGCCACACAAGAACGCTACGACTTCTTTATAATAAAAACTTTGACAGTCTTTGTGCAGAATAGAGAACTCGGCTCGTAAAGTTCTGCTGACGGATGAGGAGTACGAGGGAGGACGAGTTTGTCCTCTGCAGTAGCGGTGACAGGCTGTGACAGACCCGTCTGTTTACCCTCGTTGTGTGTCAACACTGCTGATGTTTGTGTGTGTGTTTTTTCCCCCCCCTCCTCTCTCAGGCGCGGCGGTGGCGGGGGTTTACCGCGTGGCAGGGAAGGGCATGGCACCGCTGGAGGCGTTGGTGTTCGGCGTGGGCCAGACCACCCTCTCCGTCATCATCTCCTTCTCAAGAGTCCTCGCCACCCTGTGAGGAAAAACCTGCCGATGAGCCGAGGAACGAATGCTGAGACGAGAGCGAGAGAGAGAAACGAGCCAATCAGAGACTTTTGGATGCTCAAAAGTGGCCGAGTTTGTAGACGACGAAGAAGAAGAAGAAGAGGAGGAGGATGAGGAGGCGGAAATCGCTCTCTGGACCTTTTTTTGGGAAGCAGGAGAGAGAGAAAGAGAGAGCGCCACCCTGTGTTCGTGCTCTGTTACTGCCACACTGCATTGTAGAGGAAAATCAGTGCAGGCAGGTTGTCCTCATGCATGAGAGCAGGAAGGGGGCGGAGCCGGCGCCATACTCAGCTTCTGAACTAGAAAGCCATGTTTGGGGTGTTTCCAGAGCTCCATCACTTCTTTGTGCCAACAGCCTTCTCTGGACATCCAGACGCCTTTGTGGCCACTGACTCTAGAAGGCTTCCTGTTGCACTTGTTGGAGGGGGGAAGGGGGGGGGGAGCAGCAGATACGAGTTGTCATGGTGATCTGATCGTCAGAAGAACAAAAACAGCATGGAGCGATTAGGACGTGGCGATCAAACAGTGTTCATCAGCAAAAAAAACACCATTTTCCTCCTCAGTGTCACACGTCAGCCTCACCTCCTTCTCCTCCACAATGTTCACGATCACAACCAACCCCCCCCCCCCCCCCTAAAGAATTCAATAAGTCGCACCATCCAGATTCTGAGCCCGATGCGGCCTCGGAATTTTTGCACTTTGTAAAAGTTGGAGAAGCTCTTTGCCTAAGAGGTGTGATGAAATCATGGAGGAGAAAAAACCAGCATCCAGCGCCACGTTTGGTTTGAAAACATTGATTCATCGAGTGCCAACGAGAGCTCCCATTGGAGCTGAAGGAGCATGTGACACGTTGGGAAACGAGGCTGTTTGTTTTTCGTCGAGAGTCCGTTTAGAAGATGCCTCTCATGTCTGTAAAATAAATATGAACCAGTGTGACGGTTAGCTTAGCATCATCTACATACCAGCGGCCCTAAGGCTCACCTTTAACGCGTTTGTTTGTTTGTTCGCAAAAAAACAGCTTTTTCAGTTTTACACAGTTTGTTGTGACTGACCGTCTTGTGCCCGATTGGTCCAAAACAAAAACGCAGAAAAGAAGCAAATCTTCATTTTCACGCTTCATTCTGAACATCAGAGAAATCAGGTGTTAAAGAATGAGTTTAAGGGGTGTGTCGGAGGACTTTGTTACCTTTTTAACAGAGGGATCGCTGTTTTCCCATTTTCCAGTCTTTGTGCTAAGCTAAGCTAACTTTTCCTGATTCATCTTTTTTTGACATGAGAGCGCCCTCACGTCTCTCGTCTAACTAAATGAAGCAGATGAGCACGTTCCCAATTCAGCGGAGTATTTACTGATAGCAGACGGAGTAGGACCTGGTGCGAGCCCTCAGGGGAGCGGACTCGTTCAGGTTTGATTCCGCTCTGGTTTGCATGAGATCAAGGATCAGGGTCCTCTTATTCAGGGTTTTAAGAGAGATGTATTGGTATTTTAAAAAAAGGGTAACAATGTTGGGATCCGGCCTTCCTTTGCCCGCTGTACGACGAACATTGTCTGCACTGACGTAGAGTAAAGTCCCCCCATGGAGAGCCACCCAGACGGACTGATTCTGCTGCTCTAACCGCCATTCTTCTATGGCTCCCTCTTCTTTTTTTTTGTTTCTTTTTTTTTAATTATTTATCAACCCATGTTCCTTAAGTTTTAACTTTGCATATTGCACTGAGATTAATCTGCCTTGTTTTTAGCAAAGTGTGCGATCACACTTCTCTGCTGTGACCCGGTCCGGTACACATAAACAGAACCTGTTGGAGATCAAGTGTGGAAGAATGTGCTTGAAGCTACCGTAATGAACTCAGAACAGTGACTCACAGGACGACGCACTGGGGTCTTTTATCGAAGTTCAATGCTCATTACTTGGCTCGTAAGTTCTCCAGATTCACCTCTCTCTTGTGCACAGCTCGAGCACAGGGTGAGAAGAGTCCGGTTATTATACCAAAGTAATGCTCAACTTCTAGCTTTATTTAATTCTCTTTGTCTCATTTTACAGCCTCGGATTCTTATTAGTTTGATTTAGAAGCGTTTGCACATCGGCTCGAGTCTCAAACGCCCCCCCCCCCCACAGACTTCCTGAATTAGCCCTGGACACGACTTTGATGACAATGAAGTAGATGTTTGTGTGGTTGAGGCGTGAGTGCCTCTAAAGGTAAAAACGCTGCGTGTGTCATGAGGGTTATGTAATCGACACGACTCACCTTCAGTACCAGCTCAGCACACAAGAGGGCGATATTGCACAGAGAAGAAGAGGAGAAGTGGCAGACTGTTTGGGAGATGATTGTGGATGGTGAGACAGTGCGTGCAGACTGTTTTGATACAGAAATTTAACATGATAAAAATGTTTTCTAGACGAAATTAAAGCCCCTAATTTAAGTGTAAAATAATAATCACCTGTAACCCTTTTTTTTTTTTTTTTTTTTATCCACTGACCGCCCGGCACATCGTCCACTCTGCCCGTTTGAATGTTTTAGCTCAATTTCAGGGACCAAATGTGAGCTGCTGCTGATGACTCACCTGCTGTCCAAGCAATGAAATCTCTGTGAAGCTGTTTGTGGGGCAGTTTCTGCATGTTCGTGTGTGTGTGTGTGTGTGTGTGTGTGTGTGTGTGTGTGTGTGTGAGAGCATGTGTGTGCTTCATAGGAGACGTGATGTGTGTGTGTTGTTTCTGCTGTAACCATGTGTAGTTAGTATAACAGGAGATTAATTTATTTTCTATCATTAAAAAAAGGGGGGAGGGGGGTTGTTAACATTCTTTAACCCCCCCCCACCTCTGAAGTGTCAGCGAGGTTGAGGACCTAATTGAAAGCAGTCCACTGAGCAATGTCTTACATAATGTGATGGAAACCTTTTCATTTGAGGCGTTAGAAATGACTTTTCCTGCCAACGAGAGACTGCAAGAACAGGAGTGTCCTTACTGTACATCCTGAGCTGTATATAGACGTAGTGTACAAAATAAAAACTCGACCAGAAGAAGAAGAAGAAGAAGACGAAGAGTGAGGATCACAGCTGATACGAACAAACAACCAACCAGAGAGTGTGTTTTGGTTTTCACACAGTCGGGAGTCTTCACACCCGGTGCCATGATGATCGCTCATGATGAATATTGTTTTTCCCGCTCCGGGCTCCGTGATTCAGCAGCCGTCTAAGTCGCTGATGACTCTGTGTGTGTGTGTGTGTGTGTGTGTGTGTGTGTGTGTGTGTGTGTGACACCCAGCAACTAATAATCCCTTCTAGACTTCAGAAACACCATCACACTGCAGCTCAATAATCCCGTCTCTTACAAACACTCATAACCTGAAACTGCCCCCTCGGTCCTCTGACGTCCACATGCCACACATCCCCCCTCCCCCCCCCCTGTCCTCTGCCCCCTGCCCCCCCCGCCCCCCTCCTCTGGATACTTACTGTGTACCTGTGTGAGCGCTGCAGCTCAGATAACGTGTGAATGGACAATATGGACAATCCAACAAGACAATGTTGTACAATAACCCAAAGTGGCACTTTGTACATAATGTACCATATGTTCTTTTTTAATTTTGTACCAGCTGAACCGCTGATATTTATAACTATTGCCTATTTATGTACAAAACGTTCTCCTGTACATACTCAACAGTCGGTTGAAATAAAAATCTTTTGCAGTTAAATGCCCAGGAGTGCTGTTTTGCATTCTTGTTTCTTGAACGAAGGTGAACTCTCTCCTTCGTTCCCTTTACCTCCTCCGCTGTGTCCTTGTGGTTTTTTAAACATCTCTCTCCGTACAGATGGAGGATGAGTCTTAAGCTTTTCTGTCAGCTCCTATCAGCTCTTCTCACTCCTTTTTCCGATTATATGGAGGTGAAAGAGCATCGAAATACTTCCTTAGGTAATGAAATCAGTTTATAAAAAGTCAAAGGAGGAGTTTCTGTCGCTGTCCATTTTCAGCAGAGTCATTTGAGTTCTTTTTTTTTTTTTTTGAAGGAGCTGCAAGATGTTAACTTTCCACTGAAAAGGCTTTTAGGTTGAAAATATGCTGAGTGGTATAGAATCATTGCAGTCTTATAAAACAGTCATGGTGGCCACAGTCAGCCTTAAAGTGAAGAATGCAGCAGATTCTCTTTTTTATCAGATTATATATGTTATTTAAAAAACCAAGCAATGATTAAGGATTAATGTCTGTTCTTATTCAGAGCTGATAACAGAAGTCATTACATTTAATTAAGAACTGTATATTTTTGTGGTACTTCGTCTGTACTTGATTATCTCCGGTCTTTGCTACTTTGTACTGATTTACATTTTGCGTCATCGAATTCATTTTACTGCCGTTTCTCAACCTGGAGATTGCTGCTTGATTGACCAGGAGTCTTAGCGTGAAAGCAGCTCTGCCAGGCTGTTGCTAAACGCTAACATCGACATGCTAACAGGCTCACAGTGACAAGGCAGTCATGAAGATGGCAGCAGGTTTTAAGATGACGATGTTTAGCTTTGACTAAAAAACTGTAAATTCACAATACATCAACATCTGGTATGGGATGTTTTGGCTTCATCCTGTCAAACTGAGGCACGCTGTCCATTTGTATATGCACTCTATGAGTTACACTAAACACAAAAAAACAACCAACCCTGACAAGAATCAAGCTACTCTTTCATTTATTGGTTCTAGATGAATCAAAATGTTGTACCTGTTGTTTTCCAATAAAATCATACACACCACAAAGCAATTATTAAACATCAAAACCAAAAGAAAGATACTGCGCATACAATAACCACACAGCCCATCACACAGTTACTATTTGTATTTGTATGCTTGGGAGAATAGATTTGATTTAATCTTTAAAAGTAGAGACGGTAATGATGGATGTCAGGTCAGCAGGAAGTTTATTCAGGAGAGAAGGACTACAGTAACGCCCCCCCCACCCCCCCTCTCTCTCCGGCCTTGGATCTAGTTCTCGTTATGGATCGAGAGTTTCCCTCTTGGCTTTGGTCTTTGAAATATTTCATCCATCATGAATCCAAATGGACATCTCATTTCTAACTGTGAAAACTGAAACATAGTATGAGTCACTCTGTGTTTGTTACTACGATCAGAAACAGCATCAGGCTGCCACCACAAAGTACCACTATGTGTGTGTGTACATTATTATTCATCGCCTCCTGTGCTTCTATTGTCCTCGGGGGGGTCGGGAAGGGGGGGGGCGTCATCTCCAGTCACGGCTCGTCTCCTGGTGGCACCGGGTCGGATCATCAGAGAGGAGGCCTCGCCATAAATATCCCACAATCAGGCACTCTGCTATCGCTGTACGTGCTCTCTGCAGAGACCTTCTTTTTTTTTTAGAGAGAAGCAAAATTTGTTTTGTCTGCCCCCGAGGGCGAAAGGAAGTTGGTTGTTTTCATTCGGTGGTATGATACCCAAAAAAAGCTTGCGGTACGTGATGCCTCGTGGTTATAATGGCGGGGCAGGACCTCCTAAAAACACTCTCATTGTACCCAAAACACAAGTCTCTATTCTCATATCTGATTTGACATTTTGTCGCTATTCCAGCCGTGTGATGTGCTTTCCCCCCTCGGCTTGAAAGGATTTGGCTGCCGGCAATTTTTTCAAGGTTTTATTTCAGTAACTAAAATCCAAACCTCAGCAGAGCCGGCTGTCTTTGTTGTCTAATGTGTTATTAATGAAGAGATACGCAGGACGAGGGCCATGAATAACTGTGAAGGAATTTAATCACGCCTGTGAATTTAAAAGTAACAAAGGTCCCGGAGTTGTTATCACTCTGTTTTTTGTTATTTTATTACTTAATGGTGCAGGTTTCCACACATCAGGCGCTCTGAGGACGCCGCCGTTGGTTTTATAACCTAGAAGAAGCTGAGCGGAGCTGATAAGAGGTCAACGGCTGCCACAAGGGCAGGAAGTGTTTCATAAGAGGCCAGGGGGAATGTGGCCTTTATTATTTACGAGTGTTTGGTAAACTCAGAATAATGCATAACTGTTCTGATAGCCGAGACAATAATGTTTGTGCCTTTACGTGACCTGAAATAACACGTTATCGCTGCTATCTGCTGACACTTTAACGACAAATTGTGCTAATCTTACATTTAGAAACCACTGCAGAGGGTTTGGAAACATCACTCACAGGCTTCCCAAACCTTTTTAAATATTATTTTATTTTACAGATACAGTCGCGCTCAAAATAAACTCAAAATTAGCACGCTTTATTAGCGTGGTTAGCTAAAATCGGAGGAATAATGATAGTCCAACCAGCTTGTTAAAGGCTTTATATGTGATTTTTTGATCCAGCAGATGTCGCCCTTGAGCACCATCATGAAACCAAAACAACTCGCGCTGCATTGTTGTGTTAGCATGCTAATGCTAGCGATCTTTATTATGCTGGTATCTTCACACTGCATGTAAATTTACCTGAAATGAGCGTGATCTAGAAACACAGTTAAGCAGTGAGTACAGTATGTTATTCTTCTTTTCTCTAGTCCCTCAATTAAATAACTTTTATACACGAGGGGAGGAGTCAGCCGGCCGTCCTGGCGATGTAAACAAACTGAAGATAGGACTCTGAAAGCATCACAGACAGTGGGACTCGGGTGTTACACCCATTGTAGACAGTCATGACTCACAGAGATATTTTCAGAGGATATACTTGATTTATATATTTAAGTGTGAAAAATCGCATATAAAGCCTTTAAGCTAACAGTTAGCAACTATTTACCTGAAGTAAATTTATTAATCGATTGTATTATATCGGGGTTTTTTGTATCAAAACATTTTGTGTCATATCCTATCGTATCTCACCGTACTGTACTATTTAGTATCGTATAATATCGTATCGTTTCGCATAATTTCATATCATACTGTATCGTGTTGTATTGTTTAGCTTCATATTGTATTGAATTGTACACTATTTAAAAATGAAACCTTTGGTATCATAACGTTGGTCTCTGATACTGGACTCTTCAGGTCACAGCTCTTTTCAGGCGTGTTACACTCAAAGCCAAAGCGTCCTGAAAGAGTTCCTCTAGCTCTAACATTTGTACTGTCTGCAGGAATTGTTTACAGCTGGAGCCACTTTGCATATCCAAACGTGTAGTCATGAAGCAAAGCGCCTTGACCTCTCCGAGTCGTCCCTTCATGCCGACCGTTGAGCCACTCACTGCTATTGTCTCATTGATTCCCTCTCAGGAAATACTCAGGAGTTGAGCCTGAGTGCAGGACAAGGGGGATCGCATGCTGGCTTTGAAAAAAACACCACCGACACAATGACTGGAAGCAGGCCGAGTCTTTTGACCCCGGCAGATCACTTCACATTATTGACCCTGCCTTTGTGCAGCCTGACTTCACTCCCGTTGTCCATAATGTACAGTATATAAAGCACAGACAACACACAAACACTGCCTGAAGCCAGGCTCCACCAGAGCAGTGTCTGCCGTCTGGACCAAGCAGTGATGTCTGTCTGCGTTTCCTCCTCGCTGTAATATCCTAAACATGGACCGTTTTCTCCTACAGCGAGCACGCAGAGATCTGATGAGGCCGGTGTGTTAACGGTCCAAGAATGACAAATATGTGATTCATTCCTTTGTAGTCTTCCAGTCACTCCAAACATCCATTTCTTCAGGTGATTTCTGACTCAATAAAAATGATTTTGATGGGAAAATCAGAGAATAAACAAAAGATGCTGGGAATATATAATTCCCGGCAGGGATATAAGCAGGAAAATGTACCATTTACCATTTAGGAAACATTTCTAAAGATGGAGTGGAAGCAGAAGTATAAATGAAAATGGAGAAATAAGTTTAATTAAGTGTTGAAATAAGTTGAAAGCTTTGTATAAGTTCATCCAAAGTGTTTACATTTAAAGTCTTTAAAGACATTAGTGTCACTTTAAGTATAAACTTCATTAAGTTTTAAGTGATGAGAAATGTAAAATGAGAAAGCAGTTTAAAGTTTTGTGTGTAACAATTTGAAGTTTAAGGAATTACAACGGCTGAAGGATTTTAAAAAATTGATTTAGTCGATATTAGATCAAAATGGGCCGTGGATTTAGCATAACTTGCGTATACGTCTGGTATAAATTAGTTCCTGTTTGTCAGAAATGTTTTGGTCTTTACGTTGTGAAACAAAATGTCCTACAGTCTTTTATCTAATTCAATTTAAAGTGTCCGTTATGAGTATTCAGCTGGTTATGAAACAGACTGAATTTAGAACTGATGCCTCGATATGACCTACAAATGCCAAAGAAACCGTCAAAAATAAGACTGATTATTTGTATTTAGTTATTTTTTATATCTGTAAACGCTGCTGTCAGGTTGATGTCGGACAGGATTTAAAGCAGCAGCTGCAGAGACAGACTGTCTGGAAAGCAGGATGGG